TCATCTTCATTTCCTTTTTGTGCTTCTTCTTCTTCTTCATCCTCATCTGTTGTCACAACATCAACTCCCTCCAGTCCCTGGATTTCCTCAGTTGGAGCTTTAATTTGTTCCTCACAATCTCTTTCACCTCCTAGGGCATCACTTTCAAAATATGTATCATCATTGCCTTCTCTTTCTTCCATGACATCTTCCTCTCCTCGATCATCTACAGCCTGATCACCTTTTGCTTCATCACAACTTTATTGATCACCATTTGCTTCATGATCATCACATTGGGGCTGAAGTTGTTCTTGTTTTGCATCATTTAGTGCATGTAATTCAACCTAATACAATGCATAATCTATAAATATCTGACATTTCCCACAACTTCTGACCAAGTCAATAAGATGTAGTGTTGACTCATCATCAAACAACTCATGTAAGGATTCCATAGGGGCACTTGGTTTTTTAAAGTAAAGTTCTCTCAAGTTGCCAGGCCATAGCTTCCACATTGTAAGAACTTAATCAAATGGGTATGACTTATCACATCAGGATCTGCGGGTATACGATCCACTGCCCCTCCAACATACATCTTCTCGGGATCACAAACAAAATTCCTCCATGGTGAATTATTAGTTCGACATTCTCAAACATGCTACACACATTACAAGTAACAATCGTGAATTTCAGTTCAAAGTCATGCAATTTAGGTCAAACACAATAACCAGTTACACATTCAAAAAATATTACTCCTGGAGCTTGTATAGACAAAAATATGACTAAATCTGATATTAACAAAATGGAACCATTTAACCCATTTTAATGTTCCGCACTTCAGCACCGTTCTTCACCGCCGCATCTCTTAATCATCATCTCTGCGGCTCCTCATCTTCATCGCCCAAAGCCTCGCCATCGCCGCCGGTCGTCACCTACCAGACATCTCTGTATCGCGGCCGCCCTCCAGATGTCTTTGCATCGCCGCCGCCCATCTCTCCAGATCTGAAGGGTTAGCATTCTCCTACAGCTTCATCGAGCATCTCCAGGTACACTTCACACATCTGAGAGATGCATCCCTCTTTCGGACCTCTATGTTCTTCGCCGCCAACAGACCAATCTCGCCGTCCACGTCGATTGTTATCTCTTTCTCCTTCGATCTCACTGTCTTCGACAACTATTGTCTCTCTCGCCGTTCACCTTGTTGCTACCACCGTCTACCTCTTCTTTTTCTGTCAGAATTTGGGGATATGAACGAAGATGCCAATAATAGTTAGATCTGACGGCAACACCTAGGGTTGGATAGGGTGACAGGTAGCGACAGTGTGCGATGAGGTTACATGAAGAGGTGTGGTGGCTACTAACTAGGGTTTATTGTGTGGTAGTGCGACGGTTGTGGGGATTAGGGCAGAGGGTGGGGAAGTCCGGGGAGAGGGGATCATATCAGGGAGTGGGGGGGTCTGTGAGGGTGCAAGGCTAGGGACGGCGGGTTAGGGGAGGCTAAACAAGTTGGGGAGGCCGAGTGGGGAGGGGGGGGGGGGGTGATGTGAGATGGTGGGGAAGGTCTAGTGGTGACATGAGAGAGGCTCGGGCGTAGGCTAGGGTCAAGTGAAGGGCAGTGGTTGGTTATCGGGGCGATGTCGATTGTTGGAGGCTGTCGTGGTTGAGGGCTGGGCGAGGGTGGCTAGGGACATGGCAGGACAAGGGGCACGAGCTAGTGTTTGTGGTGCTAATGTCTAGGGATGGGGAGGAGCAAGGGTAGTTAGCGGCATATGCGGATATGGCGGTGTCGGTAGAGTGGCAGACAATGTCACTGTGAGTGGAGTTGACGTGTCACTGTGGGCGGAGGTGGTGTGGTGTGTCATTGTGGCGATCACAGTGACACCGGCGGCGACCTCAGTGACACCGATGGCGGAGATGTATTACAGATGTGTCACTATGGCCGGTGGTGGCGTGACGTGTCACTGTGACCAGAGGCGGCGTGTCAGTGTGACCAGAGACGGCGTGTCACGGTGGCATGGTGTCATTGTGGCAGAAGGCGGCGTGGCGTGTCAGTGTGTCACTTTGACGATCATAGTGACACTGGCGGCGAAGATGTCACTGTGGCCATTGGCGGTGATCGGCGGCGGCGGTGTCGGCAGCAGTGACACGGGCGATGAAGGTGGCAACGACACAGGCAAAGGCGGCAGTGACATCCAACAGTGACATGAATAATCATCTTAGTCACATTTTTGTCAAAATGTAAATGTGATCACTTTTTTGAAAATTAGCTTAAGTTTAGTAATATTAAGGAAGAAATCCCATATTATTAATCATGATGGTTAAGATTTTATTTTGAAAACTGCATCATGATTAAGATAAAAACACGTTTTACATTTCTTTTAGATTGGGCTTTTTTAGGGGTGGAAACAGGTCAGGCCATACCAGCCTTTTGCCTAAACAGGTCGGGCCTGTTTTAGAATTAATAGGCCTGAGTCTGGCCTATACCTGTTAAAGGCCTGTTTTTTCGACCTGAGCCTGACCTGTTTAAAAGCCTGGCCTGAAGCCTGTTTAGTGTGTTTGTTAAGAAAAAAAATCAAAAGTTCATAAAAATAAAAAATAAAAACGGAAAAATCCTCTTAACCCAATTTAAAATTTATTCCCCAAATATTCACTAAAAAGTCTAATTATACGATAGTTTTGCTTTGAATGTCTAATAATACATTTTTTTAAATATGTCATTTATGTAGCTTATAAATTTTTATGTATTTCAAATCTTGAAAAACTTTGAATTTCAATTACCCTAATAACCTATTAACACACTTATGATCATATTTCAAATAGCTAGTGTTCTAATTTATAATGCATAATTCATAAAAATACTACTATGCCTAATTTGCTATAGTTAAGTAGACTAATATATATAATACAAATAATATATAACCCAAATAAATTTAAATACAAATAGGCCGGAGTAATTATAAATAATACAAATAAATTTAAATATAACTAAATATATATACAAACTTAAATAGACACATATAAATAGGCCGGTGTGTTAAGTTAAAAAGGCTTCAAAGTTGGGCTAAGTCTGACCTATTTAAGTAAACGAGCTTTTCAAAAAACGCAAGTCTAGTTTTATTATTAAACAGGCCAGACTAGGTCTTAAATAGGCCAGGCCATAGACCCTTGACAGGTCGACCGACATATTTCCACCCATAGGCTTGTTATAAATTGTCCGCCTAGGCCTTGAATCGGTGGGACCGCCCTATGTTTTCATGGCCTCACTTCCCTTTTGCTTGGCTATGTGTAGGAAAGCAAATCTGAGTCAGAACCAGTAGACCACCGCCACACTATAAGGACCACACTATTGTACTTCGCACCATTGTATTTGGACGATGGTTTCTTCCCGGCATTAATAGAAAAAGTTGTCATCATCAGATTTGGAAAGTTGTGTTTCCTTCAAGAAATGTCTTTTTAAGGAAAAACTGTTTCTGGTCATTTGGTCAAATTGGAACTCTCCGCTTCCTTGAGTATTTGATACTTCCTCCAATCCTTAAAAATATTCAAATTTTTGCTATCTCAAAATAAACTTTCTCTTTCTTTTTTTTTATTAAAGAATTTGTGATTCACAACAATTCTTAACATTCTTACACTTTATCTCTTTTCTGCACACTTTCTCTCTTCTCTACACAGCTCTCCACTACACAATACTCATTATTTTAATTGGCATTTGTATTATGGGAAAAAAATAGGGACAAAGGGACTCAAGAGAGTAATACATTTACAAAAAAAAGTACTACGTATTTGATAACATTGATACTATTCTTTAGTTGTAATTCATTATTATTTGGCACTCTATTCATTTTAATAACTATATCACTCTCTTGTCTTGGAAAGGTTACAATTCAACTAGAAACTAGAAAACACCAAATTAAGTGATTGATGAAAAAGAAGAGAGTCGAATTGCTACTTGGTAAACACAATGTTTTTCAATCCAGATCGCTGGATGTGCAGGTCTAGCTGTCTTGTTATCAGCGATAGGTTCAGGCATGCACATATCATTTGGTCTGATTTGGTCCGATTTTAGATCAAAAGTGAAAATCAGGCATAGCTCACATGGTAGGAAGGGTGTCACAAAGTAGAGGTCTCGGATTTAACTCCATGCAATGCAATGAGTTGGGATAGAACTCTGCTATCTTTCTATTAGGTGTGAGTAGTCCTGGACTCGGGCCGGTTCGGGCCCGGTTCGGGCCTGGGCCCGGCCGGGCCTCGGGCCAGGAAAGGGAGGCCCGAGCCCGAACCGCCGGTGGCCGGTTCCGGTCCCGGTTCCGGGCCAAACCGGGCCGGGCCGAACCGGCCCAATAATATTTTTTTTTTTTGTTCTTCTATTTAATCCCCTACCCCTCCCCCTCAACCCCAAACCATCCCAAACCACCTCAAATGGCCCAAAATACCTAATCCAACCTAAAACTTAAAAAAATTTCAAAAAAAAAAAAAAAAAAATTAAAATCCGGCCCGGACCGGGCCCGAACCGGCCGGGCCGGTTCACCAAAACCTGGGCCCGGGCCCGAACCGCCCAGCAGCCGGGCCGGGCCGAACCGAACCGAGGGACCCACCGGGCCCCGGGCCGGGCCGGGCCAAATAGTAACCGGGCCGGGCCGGTTCCGGGCCGGGCCGCCCGGCCCGAGTCCAGGACTAGGTGTGAGGTGTCATCCTTTTTAGATCAAAGTAACCACTGGTCCTTAATTAATGCTATATTTTTTTCTCAAGTATTTGCGGAGTTTACAAACAAGTTAATTTCCCTGAGCTATAAAAAAGTTCACAAATGTTATAAAGAGGGTTTAATTTGAACCATCTATATATGCACATAAATTAAATGTTACCTGCCACTATATTAAAGGCCATGCCAACCTCACTATTATTGAAGTTAAACTAATTTAACTAGAAACACTCATGGGAGAAGTGGATAGAAGTAATAGTTAATACCCAAGAAGATCAAGAAAAATCTGCATGGAATTAAATTCCCAAGACGTGTACTAGGGTTTGTTGGACATAGGAGTGGCATTGAAAACCTGTGGTGTTGTTTTATTATTGCATGTGTGTGTGAACTGTACTTAGCTTGACAAGAAAACACTATAGGGGAGGACTAGCTTTCACTAGCTTCATGTAATTTCCTACAAAACCCTAAGCAACCACAGTGTAAAAGAAGACAAAGTGAAGCAAAAGAAGAAAATCAATTCTGAGTTCACTTTCCTTCCTGCCAAGACTTATATAATGATCTTGCATTACCCAATCTACCTTAGCTTACCTTCTGTCTCCAAAGTAGAAACCTTTGCCCTCAGTTTTTAACTTTCCAAAACCAATTCAACCTGTTTTTAAAGCTAGCTCCAAAATGGAAGCTTTCCATTCCCAGATTGGCATTCCCTTTCCATATGGCTTTCCTACCACAGTAATGAACATACGCAGTAGGACCAGTAGCAGTGCAAATCACATTCTTTCCAGCAGCACTTGGAGGATGGACAGTAGAGTTTGGAGCAGGCTCCCTCATAAGCTGATTGATAGGATCATTGCCTTCCTCCCCCCACCGGCTTTTTTCCGTTCAAGATCAGTCTGCAAGAGATGGTACAGCCTTCTCTTCTCCAGCAAGTTTCTTGAATTATATCTCCAAGTTTCTCCACACTGCCATTGGTTCATATTCTTCAAACACAAGAGCTTGAAGACCTACATTTCTCATAGCAGCAATAGGGATGATGGCTCAGAGAGGGAGACATATGAAGGCTACCTGCTTGATCCTCAGACACTCACATGGTACCGCTTTTCTTTCCCCTTCGTCCCGACGGGGTTTTATCCCGCCACTTCCTCCGGTGGATTGATCGGATGGGTTTCGTATGAGGCGGGCTCAAAGAACATCCTCTTATGCAATCCTCTCATCGGGTCGCCATCTTTGGTCCCGATTGCCCCGACTTTAAGGCCTAGGCTTTTCCCTTCAATTGGATCCAACATCACAAGCTCTTCAATAGACCTGGTGGTGGCCGGAGATGACTTGACATCTCCTTATGCAGTCAAGAATCTAACAACAGAGAGCTTCCACGTGGACACAAATGGGTTTTACTCCATATGGGGAACCACTTCTGCTCTCCCAAGACTGTGCAGCTTTGAATCAGGCAATATGGTGTTCGCGGGGGGGAGATTTTACTGCATGAATTCCAGCCCATTCAGCGTCCTCTTCTACGGCATTTCGTCGAACACCTGGTGCAAAATCCAACCCCCAATGAGGCGGTTCTTGCGCTCGCCGAGCTTAGTGGAGAGCGGAGGACGGCTGATCATGGTTGCTGCGGTGGAGAAGAGCAAGCTGAATGTGCCAAGAAGTCTGAGGATGTGGGCCCTCCAGGACTGTGGGACCACGTGGGCGGAGATCGAGAGGATGCCTCAACAGCTCTATGTGCAGTTCACAGGAATGGAGAATGGGAAGGGGTTCAACTGTGTAGGCCATGGGAATTTTGTGGTGATAACTATCAAGAATTCAGACAAGGCTATGCTGTATGAATTCAAGTCCAAGAAGTGGGTGTGGGTCCCTCATTGCCCCTTTGTTCATCAAGTTTCATCCTCACGCGGCGGCGGCGGTGCCGGCGGAGGTGGAGGAGTTGAGCTGCATGGGTTTGCATATGAACCAAGACTAGCTACACCAGTGACTGCACTACTTGATCAGTTGACACTTCCCTTTTAATAACTCACTATGTTTAGTGAACTTTATCATTAATTCATTAATTAATGATTTCGTAATTACTGTGATGCACTCACTTTGTTTTGACTTTGGAGATTGGATGATTAGATGGAGAATATTAATGTTGTGTTTGGAGATCAAAAGCGGTTATGTTGGTTGGAGTTGAATGGTTTATTGAATGTGACGTTATTAATAGTTTTAGTAATTTATCCTAAATTGTGGCACGATTTTATCAATTATTCATAAGCAATATTTCATTTTTTTTATTTAAACCAGTATAGTACCTGTGCATACACGTGGGAAAGAATAGTTGGTGCATATATTTTATTCATGATCTAATTATTTATTAAAATAATAATAACTTTTTAGGATTCTACATTTTCAAAAATTAAGAGTACAATAAGTTAATACACATACAATAAATATTTTATGAAGAGTATATTAGGGTAAATTAATTGTCAACACTCATGATTAAATTAATTTTAAAATTAAATACTATTATAAAAAAGTGAGAGGCAAAAAATTTAAGTGAATACAAAATATTAAAATTAACAAATATTAATTAAATAAGAACTTCCTACTGATTAGTTAAATTAGTGTTAACATATGAGAGAAAATTATTCTGCTCAATTGTTAGTCGGCTTATCTTATACCTAAAAGAACTACTTATCAGAGAAACTTCTTCTGATCAATTGTTAGTCGGGTTATCTTATACCTAAATCACTACGTATGAAAGAGAAAATTGTTCCGCTTAATTATTCACCAACTTATTTTATCTTATACTTTAAAGAATTACATATATGAGAGATGGAAAATCTCCCGCATATTTGTTAGCAAGTTTATCTTCTAATACCTAAAAGTACTACACATGAGTGAAAAAAATTTCCCGTTCAATTATTATCTTCTTCTTATTATACTTCAAAGCACTACATATGTGAGAGAAAATTTTCACGCTCAATTTGAAATCACTTTATCCAATACATAAAAGCACTACTACATATGAGAGAAGAAGTTTTCCCGCTCAATTGTTAGTCGGATTATCTTATACTTAAAAACAACTACATGTGAGAGAGAAAGTTCCGTCGCTCAATCGTTAGCAAGCTTATCTTCTTATCTGCCTAGACCTAAAAATACTGCGTATGAGAGATATAATTATTCTGCTCAATTATTAGACGACTTAACTTATATTTAAAATAACGATATATGAGAGAAAAGTAATCTCGCTCAATTGTTAGTAAGCTTCTTTTCTATCTTATATACTTACAAGAATTACATATGAAAACAGAAAGTTCTCCCGCTCAATCATTAGCAAGCTTATCTTCTTATCTTCTTATACATAAAAATACCATGTATGAGAGAAAATCATCCAGCTCAATTATTAGACGGCTTATCTTATTCTTAAAATATCTACATATATATGAGAGAAAAGTAATCTAGTTCAATTGTTAGCAAGCTTCTCTTCTAATCCCTAAAAGCACTACATGTGAAAGAGAAAAATTCATCCGCTCAATTATTAGCAAGCTAATCTTCTTATACCAAAACACTACTTATGAGAGAGAAGATTCTCCCGCTCAATTGTTAGCCGGCTTATCTTCTAATCTTCTAATACCTAAAAGCATTGCGTATGAGAGAGAAAATTATTACACTCAATTATTAGCAACGTTATCTTCTTATACCAAAACCACTACTTGTGAGAAAGAAAATTCTCCCACACAGTTGTTATCAAGGCTTCTCTTCTTATACCTAAAAGAATTACATATGACAGAGAAAATTCTCCCACTCAATTCTTAGTCAGTTATCTTTTATATAAAAGGATTACATATGAGAGTCGCTCTGTTGTTAGCCAGATTATCTTATCTTATACTTAAAAGAATTACATATGAGAGAGAAAATTCTCCCGCTCAAGTGTTAGCAAGCTTATCTTCTAGTACTCAAAATCACTACATATGAGGAAACAAAATTCACGCTCAATTGTTAGCTGAATTATCTTATAGAACTGAAGGTTGCTAAAATTGAGCATGATTACTTTTCTCTTATACAAGTATGAGATAAGTTGTCTAATAATTAAATAAGATAATTTTATCTCTCATACGCAGTATTTTTAGGTATAAGAAGATAAGAGGATAAGTTTGCTAATGATTGAGTGAGATAACTTTCTCTTTTAAGTATATAAGATAAGATAAGATAAGATAAGATAAGATAAGATAAGATAAGATAAGATAAGATAAGATAAGATAAGATAAGATAAGATAAGATAAGATAAGATAAGATAAGATAAGATAAGATAAGATAAGATAAGATAAGATAAGATAAGATAAGATAAGATAAGATAAGATAAGATAAGATAAGATAAGATAAGATAAGATAAGATAAGATAAGATAAGATAAGATAAGATAAGATAAGATAAGATAAGATAAGATAAGATAAGATAAGATAAGATAAGATAAGATAAGATAAGATAAGATAAGATAAGATAAGATAAGATAAGATAAGATAAGATAAGATAAGATAAGATAAGATAAGATAAGATAAGATAAGATAAGATAAGATAAGATAAGATAAGATAAGATAAGATAAGATAAGATAAAGGGAAAACTGTCAAATAGGTCCTCGAACTTTCATAAAAAGGTCAATTAGGTCCTTTAATTTGAAAGTGTTCTCGATTAAATTTTTAGCTGAAATTTGGTATGAGTAAACTAGACTCGATGAATAAGATGCTCAAAATATTTCATCAAAAATTCCACCGGGAACCACCCCAAATCGCGACGACCGGACAGAGTCTCCTATAGAAGGACTTAATTGATTTTTTTATGAAAGTTGGAGGACCTATTTGACAGTTTTCCCTAAGATAAATTAGAAAAAAACTTGCTAACAATTGAGTGAGATCATTTTTCTCTCATATGTAGTTATTCTAAGTATAAGTTAAGCTATCTAATAATTGAGCAGGATAATTTTATCTCTCGTACGCAGTATTTTTAGGTATAAGAATATAAGAAGAAAATGTTGCTAACAATTGAGCAGGATAACTTTCCCTATCATATGTAATTCTTTTAACTATAAGATAATTTTGGCTAACAATTGAGTGAGAGAATTTTATCTCTCATATGTAATGCTTTTATATATATATACGATAAATTGACTAACAATTTAGCTGGAAAATTTTCTCTCTCATATGTAATGCTTTTTTTTGTCAAATATGTAATGGTTTTAGGTATAAGATAAGATAAATCTACTAACAATTCAACGAAAAAAATTTCTCTCTCATATGTAATGCTTTTAGGTATAAGAAAATAAGCTGACTAACAATTCAGCGACACAATTTTCTTTCTCATAGAAGATAAGCCAACTAACGATTGAGCGGGAGAACTTGTTCTCTCATAAGTAGTGAGAGACCTCCTATTCAATTTTTTTCTAAAAAGTAAATAGTAGTGATTATATAAAGTGATTATATAGGGGTAGTGATTATACAAATGATGACAATAAATTTTTTGAAGTTTGCTAGCCAAAAATATGATAGAGAGGATATCATCTCTATGCTTGGTTATTTCGGTTGTGATTTTGTAGATCTAACTGATGGGAAAAATAGTCGCAAACGGAGAGAAAAAGAAAAGCTGTCTTGACATCCATCTGTTCAACCTCGAGATCAAGGCTTGCTGCCAAACCCAGAACAACACGAATAGATCCCATCTTCACAACCGGAGAGAAAATCTCATCAAAATCAATACCCTTTCTCTGACTGAACCCTTTGACCACCAATCTAGCCTTGTACCTAGGTTGTGAGGTGTGCTCTTCAGTCTTCACTTTGTAGACCCACTTGTTCTTCAAAGCTCTCTTGCCTTTAGGCAACTTCACCAACTCAAATGTATTATTCTCATGTAAGGAATTCATCTCAGCTTGCATGGCTTCAACCCACTCCCTTTTGTGCTCATCTTCCATGGCCTCTGCATAACACTCAGGCTCTCCCCCATCAGTGAGTAAGGCATACTCATTAGCTAAAAAACGGGTGGAAGGATGATGATCTCTTATAGACCGCCTAAGTGGGACAAATGGTGGCACGTCTGGTATTGGTATCTCTGAATGAAATTCTTCATCCACCTCTGGCTATTCTGGAGCATCAGTATCATGTTGTTCATCATTCTGAACATCATTATCAAGAGGTGGTTCTACATGTTGAGGAGGCACTGGATCCAAATCAGTAACATCATCATTATGTTCAGGAACTATATCTTTCTTCTCAACATCTTTCAAGGTCTGATCTTCCACAAACACAACATCTCGGCTTCGAATAAGTTTCTTGTGGACTGGATCATATAATCTGTAACCAAACTCATCTTGCCCATAACCCAAGAAAACACATGGTTTGGACTTCACATCAAGCTTTGATCTTTCATCTTTAGGAATGTGCACAAAAGCTTTGCATCCAAAGACCCTCAAATGACGGTAAGAAACATCTTTGCCACTCCAAACCCTGTCAGGTACATCAAAAGACAAAGGAACACAAGGAGTTAGATTAATAACATTTACCGCTGTATTCAAAGCTTCTCCCCAGAATGAATTTGGTAGCCCTGCATGTGACAACAAACATCTGACACGCTCCATCAAAGTTCTATTCATCTGCTCTGCTAATCCGTTCAACTGCGGTGTCTTGGGAGGACTCTTTTGATGTCGAATACCATGGTCTCTATAATAAGCATCAAAGGGCCAATGTATTCCCCTCCATTATCTGTCCGAATACACTTGAGCTTCTTTCCAGTCTGTCTCTCAACCGAGACATGAAACTGCTTAAACACCTCAAATACTTGATCTTTAGATTTCAAGGTATAAACCCATACCTTTCTGGAGTGATCATCAATGAATGTGACAAAGTAGGAGCAACCACCAAGTGTCCTAGTCTTCATAGGACCACAAACATTAGAATGCACCGGATCAAGTATACTCTCCTTCCTGGAAGGAGGATGGCTCTTAAAGGAAACGCTGTTCTGTTTACCTGCCAAACAGTGAGAACACTTCTTTAGATGAATATCATGCACACCCGGTAACACATTTCTCTTCAACAAAAGAGACATCCCCTTTTCACTCATGTGACCAAGTCTCTTATGCCATAAATCAGTCATGTCAGTATTCACCACAGCATTAACCCTATCCTTGAAGATCTTCGGATGTGTCATATACAACTTTGA